AGTCCAACACTTGACCACATGCTTGCATTTCATATTCATACATTCATTAATCCAATATCTATTCACTTAATTATTTTCCATTTGATGTCAAAAATTACTATTGAGGAGCAAATCACATATTTTCTGAAGACTTCTAACTCTCTTAAAATTATCAGCTCCTTTGCCATAAGAGACTCTTCAAAACAAGAATGTTTCCCCTGGACTTAGTCAAAATAGAAGACTACTAGCTAACAATCCAAAGTTCTTGACTGCAGTGATTAACTTTGCAGTACCTGTATTGGTAAATGAGGCTACCAGTTATAACAGCAGTGGAAATAACCACAAAACTATTGGATGCATGTTTACATGCTGAAATAGTTTAATGTGAAAGTCAAAGAGATCAAATAGAATACTGGAAATCCCATAGATTGGTTCAGGTAGGGCTCTGCCTTCTCAGTAGTGGGGCTAGAGAGCCATCTATTTGCAACTTTCTCAGTCTTAGAACACTGAGAAACAGAGTACATTAGTTCACTTTAGCTTAAAAGCAGTTACTTTGGCACTGTTCAACATAGCTGTTGGGAAAATTTTTGGATAGTCCAATAAACAAAAAAACAGTAACAAAATTTGGCCCTGTGGTGGTATTGTGTTCCCCAAAGTATTGTGTACTCTAATAAATTTATCTGGGGTCAGAGAACAGACAGCCACTAGATACAAAGGCTAGAAAATGGTGGCACTGACACCTTTAATCCTAGCATTCCAGAGATAGAAATCCCTCTGGATCTCTGTGAGTTCAAGGCCACATTGGAATTAGCCAAGCATGGTGACACGCCTTTAATCCCAGAAAGCCAGCCTTTAATCCCAGGGAGTGGTGGTAGAAAGCAAAAAGATATATAAGGCGTGAGGACCAGAAACTAGAAGATTTTGGCTGGTTGAGCATTCAGGCTTTTGAGCAGTAATTCAGCTGACACCCATTCCAGATGAGGACTCAGAGGCCTCCAGTCTGAGGAGACAAGACCAGCTGAGGATCCGGTGAGGTGAGATAGCTGTGGCTTGTTCTGTCTCTCTGATCTACCAGCATGGACCCCAATAACTCGCCTCAGGTTTGATTTTATTAATAAGTACTTTTAAGATTCCTGCTACATGGCCCTTTCACAATTTTTTCTTTTAGTGAAATTGTGCTAAATTTCACTCTGTTTTTACATAATTTAAACATTCTTGTCAAAGAGAATACTTGAAAGTACTCATATATATCTCAAATCTTAAAAGGTCTTAATAATAAAAAGAACCTAGAGCCATATAATGGGTGAAAGCTGAAAGATTAGAGAAACAGAACAAGCCAGCCACTATTTCTTATCGCTAGGAAATCCTCAGTCTAAAGACAGAGGGTTCCTGTTTACTCACAACTTTTATACCTTTCTGTGCCCTTCCATCTTGCTTCCCTCCTAGTGCTGGGATTAAAGACGTGTACCATCACCACCAGGCTCTGTTTCCAGTGTGGCTTGGAACTTAAAGATATCCAGATGGATTTCTGCCTCTGGAATGCTAGGATTAAAGGTGTGTGCCACCACTGCCTGACTTTTATGTCTAATTTAGTGGCTGGCTTTATCCTCTGATCCCCAAGAAAGCTTTACTGGGGTACACAATATATCACCACACTCATAGTTCAAAAAAGTTTTATCTTTAAATTGTTAACAATTGGAATTTATGTAAGACACAATTGTCAGAAATCAGTATGTTTTTATTGAGATTTTTACATTGCTTAAATTTAGGTAGCAGTCATTTTTGCATTTGACTCACAGATGTTTATACAACAATTATTTTCTAAATAGTAAAAATAGTTCTCACATTAATTTATATTTAAGAAATAATAATAATGGTCAAAAATTATGTACCAATATTCTATTGTCGTACTAGTTTTTTTTTTTTTCCCAAATATACCAGCACTGTAATTCCTTGAACTTGTACAACTTAATTTTACTTTTCACTGGAAAAGTTATTTTCTGGGCCAGATTTAGCAGTATATGCCTATAATACAAACATTTGGGAGGCAGAGAAAGAAGGATTATGAATGCCAGGCTATATAGGAAGACCAAATCTTGAAAAAAAAATTTGATACGTTGGAAATGTTGCATAGCTACTGCAATTATTTGTAGATTGGTTTGATATGAGCATAAGGGCTCTTAAACTGAAGAGAAGGCAACTAGAATGTGGTCAGAAATGGAAAATGACAATGGAAAAAGAGACTCAGGTGGTAAGAATTATGCAATTTAAATTTAATACTTTTAAAGGTAGACACACACACACAAAAAAAAAACAAAAGCAAACAAACAAACAAAAACAAAATAAAACCAAGCAAAATCTATAGCAAGTAAGTAAAGTAAGTAAGTAATCAGTGACCTGTTTTCTGCAGATGGAACTCAAATCTCTCCAAAATCCAATGATCAAGAAAGAAAATGTTCCCTGGGAATGTAACAAAATAACACAGTTTCAAAACACTTTGATCTTAATCAAGTGAAGTGAATGTTGTGCTTCCGGCCTACATAACTACATTGTAATAATTTGAGTTGTTTTGCATCAGTAACTCTGTGACAAATTGTTAGGGCTGTAACAGAATCCTAATACACATTGCAAAATCTAAATGAAGCAAATTTTGGTGGCAGAGTGTGGAGGCAAACCCAGCTTTCAGTTGGCTAACAAAGGCATTTCTTATTAAAAATATTGACCATTGATCAAGTATCTTAAAATATAAGACAACAACCCTCATTATAAATTGGAGACACATTCTAGTTAATGAGATGGACAAATTTAAAAGCCCCAGGTAGAGGGGTCCTCGGCACATTTAATGATTTGAAAGCAGATAAGAATGTGTACAACCCATAGTGACAAAAGCCACAGGTGCAAAAGATGAAAGGCTATTTGATCAATGTATTTCAAATTGTTAAAGCCAAACTAGATTCCTCATTTTTGTTGTTGTTTAGTTGGGAAGATGAAGTTGATAGATATTAAAAACAATCTAAAGAAGAAGAAATGTATTTTCTTTATTCATGTCTGTCTCACAATCTGTGAGTGTTAGTGTTTGTTTGTGTGTGTGTGTGTATGTGTTGGTGACTGTGTGCGTGTGTGTGTGTGTGTGTGTGTGTGTGTGTGTGTGCATGGATTCTAAAACATACAATGGTAAATATATTCAGAAAGTCCAAATAGAGAATTATAATATATGGCAACAATGTAGGCACTGAAAACTAATGATCAGTATCTATATTTTAAAGGTATAAAAAAAAGAAAGGGATTTGGTGTAAATCAAAATAAGTTTATATATTTTACTTAAACTAATAAGACATTCTTAGGCATGTTGATTTTCAATAGAATTAGACATTCAAGCTTCAGCTAGCCGACCGGGAAGTAGCTGAAGACCGGGCGATGGGAACTCTGGAGGTCTCGCTCTGGGGCGGACCCGAGGCTACCGTGCCCCCGCGGTAGAGCGAGCCTGGGCGGCGGGCTCTGGGGTCCTGAGGCATGGAGGGGTCTAAGGCGTCCAGCAGCACCATGCAGGTGAGCTTCGTGTGCCAGCGCTGCAGCTAGCCTCTGAAACTGGACACGAGCTTCAAGTTCCTGGACCGAGTCACCATCCAGGAACTTACAGCTCCATTACTTACCACAGCCCAGGCGAAGCCAGGAGAGACCCAGGAGGAAGAGACTCACTCAGGAGAGGAGCCATTTATTGAAACTCGCCAGGATGGTGTCTCTCGAAGATTCATCCCCCCAGCCAGGTGCTTACTAGTCCTCAGTCCCCTGTTTCTTGCCAGCGGCCAAGGGAC